AACTGGTGCCTCAATTCCCATTCCTTGGTTTATTTTTAATAGTTCCTCCCAGGGACCTCTGCAGGAGAGAGAGTTCCTTCCTTTTTTCTTGGGACCCACGCCCTCAGGACACAGGGAAAGTTTTCACTCTGCCTCGACACCCAGGAGCCCTCGTGGTGTGCATTACCTCCTCTGAAAGTGTTCAAACTCAGCCTGTCGCCTCGCTTTCACCGCTGGGAGGTCGCTCTGGCCATAGCCTTTCTGAAAGTTGTAACCTCCCTGCTGTTTGCTGTCTTCACATTTGCACTGATTTTTCGGGAACAGCCTAAAACAAGCAAAAGGACTGTAAACATGGATTGGGTGGGTGGAATGGTGGGTGAGAGGGAAACTGAGGCCTGGTCCGCTGTGTTGTTTACCATAAAAAATCTCCTTTCCCACATCCAGCTGGTCTAATTGGATTGAGACCCTGGAATCCCCAGCAGCAGCCCCTCACAGAGACACAGGGAAGGAGGGAAGGAGGGAAGGAGGAAGCAATAAAGGCTGAAGAGACGCCCTCTCTTGAATTATCCCCTGCACATAACTTCTTTAAACCTGAGAGCCACATGAAAGTCAGTGGCATTTCAGCCTCATAGAAGAGGAGGGCAGGGGGACAGAAAGACAACCTTTTTCCTGTAGTTTTGATCAAATAGGCCCTCCAAAGTTTTAAGGGATTTTGCTGAGTGCTGTAGAGAACAGAGATTGTGCCTTACAGACCAGCCTTTCCCTGGTCCCCACAATTTGGAATCACTTATGCAATCAGCAAAGTTTCAGGAAGGCTGGGGAACTGTCTGTAATAGGGAAGGGTACATACACCACAGGACAAGGAAGGAAGATGTCCAGACTAAGGTGGAAGAGAGAACACTTAGTATCTCACCAGATTCCATCGTAGCTGAAGAGGTTCCTGAGACGTTCCTCGGGTAGAAGCTTCAGCGTCTGGACACCTGGAGCAGGAGACCAGGGCTCTGCCTTGAGGCTACTGAACTTTGCTAAAAGGGGCACACTTCTGAACATAAATAAAACAATGCCAAGTCCTATGATTAAGATTGACATCTTGAGGAGCCACAGCGATCTAGAACTGTTGGGACACAAGAGAGCAAATTACATTAAAACCTTTTCTCTTGATTAGATAATAAATGGTTTGATTATGTGAGGTACATGGGAATCTTAACTTGAGGAAAAATGTAAGTTAAACCTCTATTGTGCACTGGTCACTAAAGTTGGTTTCCGATAAATAAAGGAGCAAAGAATCAAGTTGCAACTCAGAAAAACCACACAAATAAAAGGACAGGCAAAAGCATCCAGGAAGAAAAAGGTTTGTAATACTAACGTCAGCAGAGTCAAGACAAAAAGCAAAGTATTAAACAGGACAAAAAGGACCACTTATAATGATCAAACGCATGATCCACAAAGCAGACATAGAGGTTATGAACTTTATTCACTAAACAGTAGCATTAAAGTATACAGAGCATTCCCTGCACTGGCCAGCAGCCAAAAAAAAAAAAAAAAAAAAAGAAAAAAAAGAAAA